AGCATCCTGACCTTCTACAGGTGCACCATAGAGAGGATCCTGACCTTCTACAGGTGCACCATAGAGAGTATCCTGACCTTCTACAGGTGCCCTACAGGTGCACCATAGAGAGTATCCTGACCTTCTACAGGTGCACCATAGAGAGTATCCTAACCTTCTTCAGGTGCACCATAGAGAGGATCCTAACCTTCTTCAGGTGCACCATTACACCGCCCTCAACCGTAAGACTCTACAGAGGCTGGTGAAAACTACACAGCACATCACCAGGACAGAGCTGCCATCCATGGACTCCCGAAGAAATCCGTCAGGATGATCAAAGACCCCCATCACCCCCGCCACAAACTGTTCAGTCTGCTGCCGTCTGGCAGGCGGTACCGCAGCATCAGGACTAAAACCACCAGACTCAGGGACAGTTTCATCCCACAGGCCATAAGACTATCAAACACCTGAGCTTGCACTATTTTTATTGTTGTTTTTTATATATTTTTTTGGTGTGTTGTAATTGCACTGTTGAGGGACCTGCAATCTAAGTTGTTTTTAGACATTAATTACACCGTAGTTGTGTATGTTATGACAATCAACCTTTGCATCTTTGAATCTCTAAGTAGATTTAGTCAAGTAATGTCATTAAGTAAAATGTTCAGGGACTTTAATTGAATATTTCAATGTTTTGCTACTTTGTTCTTCTACTCCACTAAAATTCAGAGGTAAATCGTGTACTTTTACTCCACTGAATTAATTTAATTATTTTAGTTACTTTGCAGAATTGGATTAATGATGTGAAATATGATATACACAGAAACAAGACTAAGTGAATGTTCGACCTGACATTTTTTTCCCATCCCATCATTTTGGGGTGAGTTGTTTTAAAGAGGACATAATATGTCCTAAAATACAAATATGAGCGAACATAATATTATTATGTTCGCTCATATTTGTATTTTGTGCCTCTACTGTGACTTTGACCCTTAGCCTATCACATACAATGTGTAAGGCAACATTCCATAGCAACAACTTCAGTAGTTACCAAGCTTTGGTTTCAAAGGAGAAGGATAAAGAGGCGGTGAAAGACAAGTAAGCGAGACAAAGACAGAGCAATATATAGGAAAAAGAAAACCACATAACTATGACGGAGGAAGGATCTAAGGACGAAGAGAGGGCGTTATTAGTGGCACAAATCAACTCTCTGGATGAGCAGCAGCAGAGGTAAGAAAGAGTCTACTAACAGATATTCTTCTGTTCTGGAAAATGTATCTTTTATAGTTAATTCAAAAACAGAATGATTATAAATGTAGATAATGCACTACATTGTCTTTTACATTTAGAAAATATGACTTAATATTTAAAAAAGAAGATAAATGTCTGCTTAATTTAGTTTTGAACGTTAGCATTAGCACCAGCTCGTGCCTTCTTAAGACGTTCGTACCACGAAATTATTATTACAATATTAGGAAAAACATTAAATAAGCAAAAATTCTAGCTAACTGGAACCGTGATAAAAATAACTTAAACTTTGACTAGTAGCCAAAGTTTGTAACAAAACACATTTGGACTCAGCACTGGTGGGCAAGGCAACATTCAAATACTATCAAAGAAGCAGGTCGTCATGGCAATCTATCATGTTCCACAGCTTCTTGATCTTAAGAATTTTAAACCTTTTTTAGAATTTCTTAGATTTCTTAGAAAATGAACTTAATTGAAAATGGGGCCTATTAACATACTGCTTTGCAATATACTGTATGTTTACATTTATATTTAAGAAGTACAATATAAGACAAACACAAGTTTCAGGTGTGGGCCATATTCCATGATACTTAATGAATTTGCTAATTAAAAGTGGACCGTAGTTGGCCCCCGGCCATAGTTTGGACACCCCTGTGATTAAAGGTGGGGTAGGTAATTCACTTCAGAAACACTTTTTGTTATATTCCATTGAATGCTCTTAACATCCCGATAGCAATGAATATATTAAATGCTTTGACAAAAAATACATGAAGACATTTAATCTGTGGAAGACCGTGGCGCTGTTAAAAGCACGACCAATCATTTCACCGGCCCAGCTAAAATAACTGGATGGCCTACCTGCCTGTCAGCCTTCCATGTCGTGCACAAACTTATCTCGTGCCCTCATTGGTCATGTGTGCGTTCGTGTGTGTTGGAGGAAGGGCTCTGTAAGGAAGTCTGAAGGAAGGGGCAGATTTTTTTCGGCTGCGTACTTTCAAATTCTAGCGCACTCAAGCTGGTTTCTCCATCCTTACCTACCCTACCTTTGAGAGAGCCATTACACAATTTACTGGACAGCTTTTTTTTTCAGCGTTGGCTACAGTAGCTAAATATGTCTGAACCAACAACCAAACGCAGTGTTCCCCTTTTGATTTATTTTACACATGACAGGAAAAACATTTGTTGGTTTTTAAAAAGGCATTGTTGTTGGCACTGCCTGTGTTTTCACTCTGTGACGTCAGCTGTTTACTCCTATAAAGAAGGAAATGTAGCAATACTGTATTGCAGTGTTAAAGTAAACATAAGATAGCCTATTGTAAAACACAAAAGTGGAGTAATGAGTGCTAGCACTATTTACCAGGGACATGTAAACAGCTCCAGCTATGTAGGACTGAAATTAAGTAGTTATCATCACTAGTTTTCATTAACGTGCTGATTATGTGCAAATCTTCATATTTGAGAATATAACTAAAAGTTCTAAAAAAAAATTCTTTGATTCATTTTTGTATTCTCTTAAAAAACTAATGTATTCGTGAAATTTGGTCTTATTTTGGTATTATTTAAGAGCAACTTCCTTTTCCACATTTTTTGTATAATAGTACATTTTTATTTAGAAAATATAAAATGCTGTAAAATTGTAAGGAATCAGCCTTACAGATTTACTTATATGATATCTAATTTCACAGATGTTTTGTGGGTTTTCTCCAGCTACCAGTTCCTAGATACTACTTTATTTAATTTAACTATTGACATACCTTAAGGACAAGCAGTCCCAATTTCAAACATATCTTCACCCTGCAGATATCTTGAGTGTGACGTGGTTGACAAACACAATGAGGACATGACCTGTCTATGCGACGCTCTGCGAGTGGACCAAAGTCAAAGCTGTTATCGACTGAGACGCTTTAACCTTATAAAAGAGAAGAAGGAGGACGAGCTGGAGGAGGAGCAGCAGACCCAGCAGCAGGCTGCAGGACAGCAGTCAATGGCCATGGAGCTGCAGCACAGCAAGCACATGCAGAAGCTGAAGGACCAGAGGGACAGACTGCACTCAGTGAAAAGAGTGACGGGTGAGACAATGTTTCATTTGAAAAGTGTTTGCTACACTCTATTTCAGTGGTTCCCAACCTTTTTTCCCAAGAGCCCCCCCCAAATGACTCCTGTTGGAAGTTACTCCCCCACACACAGTGGAAGTGGAAACAATTCACAAAGGGATTAAACTGTTTAAAACACATGCTCAAAGTAAACCGGATTTTGCCGATGTGTTTATGTGGATTCAAAAGTCGTAAATAATCTACAAAATGGAGGAGACCAGTCTGATCGGAGCAACTGGTCACAGTTGCTCCGATCAGACTGGTCTCCTCCATTTTGTAGATTATTTACGACTTTTGAATCCACATAAACACATCGGCAAAATCCGGTTTACTTTGAGCATGNCAGTTTGCAGAGCTGTGCTTCGTTGACGTCCAGCCATGCGTCACGCCTCTTTTAAACATCACTGTTGGCTGAAATCGTCTCCGGAGAATACTTCAGTGTACCCTCGGTTATAGCTCCTCCAGAGACACTCCTCTCTCCTCTAAATCAGTGTATCCTCGGCCACGGCTTCTCCAGACAGCCTCCTCGATAATCGATCCTCGACGAGCCTTTAGAGAAATTACTTTTCGTTCCAGACGGCGCGCCGACATCCGTTTCCGGGTTGCTGCAGGATGACCTGGGAGTCTGGGACGCGAAATTAGAGAAATGTCAAACGTCTCATTTCCGAGTACTCGCGCGCGTCTGCTTGACGCCGGGACGACCGGCTGCCCTCCCCGACAGGCGCACGGACGCGAGGGCCCGCTCATCACTGCGCGCACAAGTGCGACCGCAGTTTTAATTATTATTATTATTACAGCTCATTTCTAAAAACATGACTGATGGTGAGATACTGTAGCTATCCTTAGAAGCACTATGGCAGTTGTCATAGAAACATCAATAGGTTATAAAGATAAACACTGCTTTGGACTGGGGCCTCTAATCTGTCTTTTTCCTCTTCTTCTTGTCAGAGAAACGCAGTTCACTCCTGAGGAGCTGCTGGGGATGATGCTCAACTATTCCCGGGGTCTGGCTCAGGACTTTGCAGGTCAGTTTGCACATTGCATAAGATCATCACTGTTTTAATGTGAGGCATATTCCCTAGCTTTGTCTTCCTCCACTCACAGAACAACCGGTGAAAGACGCAGTGATCACGGTCCCGGCCTTCTTCAACCAGGCAGAGCGGCGGGCCGTGCTGCAGGCGGCGCAGATGGCCGGCCTCAAGGTTCTGCAGCTCATCAACGACAACACTGCCGTGGCCCTGAACTACGGAGTGTTCAGGAGGAAAGATATCGACAATACAGTCAAGGTGCACAGTCAGCATTACTTCCAAATTCATGGTTATTAATTAGTCTGGTTATGTTTATTATTGTCAACAAATCCCATGTGCAGACTCAAGCTAACAATGAATGTATCTAATAACCTTTAAGTGTATATCAAAGCCTGATTTGGTCTTTGAAAGAGAGACAATGACAAATAGAGCATTTTGACCGCTTTATCCTCATGTGTCTCTTACCATTTTTGTACTTCAAAATAATTGAGTGTGTCTGTCACTGTGGCGCATAACAAGCTGACTGATGAGTGACCTGTTTCTGTTTCAGAACATCATGTTTTATGATATGGGCTCAGGGAGCACCACGGCCACCATCGTCACGTACCAGACCGTGAAGACCAAGGAGGCGGGCACCCAGCCCCAGCTGCAGATCAGAGGGGTCGGGTCAGTCACAACCACACACTCCTCTATTCCATCTGCTTTGTCTTATTAATCCTTTTCAAGACTGGGGAGAACATGCACAATATTTAATAATAATGATAATAAAATAAACAAGTTATAAAGCAATCAAAAATAACGTTGATAAATAGTTTAACATATAAACATAAATAACACACAAGAATACAACTTATTAAACTCAAACTCACATTTTTAGGATTTCTTTTTTTCCATAATAGCATTATCAGTAGAAACTCTGACAGTGTAGTTCAGCCCACTGCAGGCTGCTGTAATACACTCTATTGTAGATGCATTGTAAATGTATTGTATTGACCCAAGTTGGTCTGTATATTGCTGTTGTGTTGATATTGTGATATGGGACTAAAATTGTCCCAGATTTAGAATTTCACAACATAGCATAAATGTTTTTCTGGTTTTAAAAGCTGCCTGATAGTAGAGTTCAGGCAATCCAAACATGTCCCTAACTGTTCTATTCTATGCCTTTACCCACTTAGTGATTATATCCACAATACTGGTGTTTAATTACCAACATTTTCTAAACATTTTTAGGATACCACATTCTTCGATGTATTCTAAGGCCTGCTTCTCTTTATCTGGCTGTAGGTTTGACCGCGGGTTGGGGGGCTTTGAGATGGACCTGCGACTCCGGGACCACCTGGCTAAACTGTTCAACGAGCAGAAGAAGACAAAGAAGGACGTGAGGGAGAACCACCGGGCCATGGCCAAGCTCCTCAAAGAGGCCCAGAGGCTGAAGACGGTGCTGAGTGCCAACGTGGACTTCATGGCCCAGGTGAGTGCAGGGTCCAGCACTCTTAAAGCAAACAGCTGATCTGTCTGCAGCACCTAAAATAAATAAAAAAAATCTCACACCGGAGTAAATTGCATGACATGTTGACTTTATTTGATACCAATACGTGAAGATGAAATAGTGTTTTCTTTCTTCACTCAGGTGGAAGGGTTAATGGATGACATTGACTTCAAATCTAAGGTGACCAGGACGGACTTTGAAGATCTGTGTGCGGATCTGTTCGACAGAGTGCCGGGCCCGGTGCAGGACGCCCTCAGCACCGCAGAGATGAACCTGGTCAGTATAGTGCAGTGGTTCTCAAACTTTTTCTGTCATGCCCCCCCTTTGGAGAAAAAAAAAAGTCGGGCCCCCCCCCCAACACAAATAGTCAAGCTCAGTGGCAGCGCCAGAGATTTCTTTTGGGGGTGCTGTGGGGTAGCTTGACGTTTTATAGAGGGTGCTCAAAAATTTAGGGTTTCCCATTAATGTACCGGGCGCTACAGTGGAATTTTCTACTGCATCACTCCTCACGCAAATACACAGTGTACCCGCAACTGTTACAATGAAGGCTCGATAATCAGCTCACGGCATATAGGTGTAAAAAGGGGTAAAGTGCTATTTTTATAGGTGGTGTGTGGACCTCACATAGGGGGGTCCAGGGGCAAGCTCCCCCGGGAAGATTTTTAAATTTTGAAGTTAAAAGCATCATTCTGGTGCACTTTGAGAGCAAAAAGAAGAGATCTATGGATACATCTCTCAACACCCATTTAAAACAGAACTGTAAACAGATTTACTATTTCTTTATGGATATTTTACAAATCACCCTTTCAAACTTTATTCTTTTTTTACTGTCATATAGTATTTCATACCTGTTTTTCATTTATTCTCTTATTTTTTTATAACTATAATGATCATATAAACGTGTGCCTCGGAAATAATTGTTTACATTAATGGTGACCAAAACGTTTGAGACCCACTGAGATAACACTGAGAGTCCTTTAGCTCACTGAGTCTCTCATTCTGACAGGAGAGGACTCTCCTCCACTTTGATGTTGAAAAAACTCCTTATATCCGTTAGTGTAGCTCGCTAGCACCAGAAGCTAACAACAACGATCTCCGGTACCGGCTCTCTCTCTCGCGCACACACACACAAAATGGCTCGTTCCACACACACACAGAGACGAGCTTTAATGAAACACTGAGACCCAGACGTAATAGTACTGTATCATATTATTTTCGAATCAATAATTTTTCAAAATATGATTATTATTTTTTTTATCTTTTACATTTTTTTTTTTGTAATAACCATTTTTCCTCCTGGTATCTCGCACCCCCCCTGTCATACCTCTGCGCCCCCACTTTGAGAACAACTGGTATAGTGGGTCGCAGCGGATGCATAGAATAAGAATAGGGAAATAACTAAATACCACATAAGCCTACAATAGAGTGATGCAGTAATTATGTATTTTTGTAGGCTCTGGGGCAAACGCACATTTAAGATACTTGTATGTTTTGTTCAGCAGGATATTCTGCACATATTAATACCACTTTATGATTTTTTAAGTGTTAATGCAATGGCCAGAAGTAAAAAGCTAACGTTAGGCTATCAAAATGACATCCTGGTCACATGGCTGCCTATCACCAATGCTAAGCTAAAGGTGGCTAATGATGAGCGTGCTGCAGTCAGTAGTCTCATTTAGCCATCTCTTAGCAACCGCTGTTTTATTGACACGTAGATCACACATCAAACTGTCATGAAAGAACATTACCTGCTCAACAAAAGATGTGTTTCACATCACACTGGTGTTCAACAACATACTGGCCATTTCTGGTGTCCCTAAACCAGCTGGTTCGACACGTGTCTTACGTTTATTTAACTTTCCCTTTTCCATTTGATACACATTCTGTGAATTAAATCATTGCATTCAATAAAATGCCCCCCCCATGCGAATGACTTTATTGAATACATTTTCAAAGTGTTCAAATTATTTTCTAAATATTCTACGTGAATATTTATAAAATAACTGTACAAAACACAGTGTACTTGTATTCACAGTTTTGTCCTGAATTAGGTGTGTAGTCTAGCTGTGATTTTGAGAGCTTTGGTAGCTCCACTTGACCACCAGACTGTGTGATGTCACTGCAGCAACAGTGGGCCAATGGCGCGATGCATTCAATTGAAGAGCAGTTGTAGTGATTGGCTGCAAGAAAAACTTGACAAATGGTTGTATTCTTCCTAGTTCTGTGTACAAAGGACCAAACCCAGGTATGGGCTGGGTACTGGATTGTTTGAGCTGATGGTGTCATATAAAACGCATTACTTCTCTTTCACTCTATATATAGAATTTTTTTATTCCATTTAGGGGCGATTGTGCTTATTATGCAAGTATTCCTGATTTGTATGTTTTCCTTTGCAAAGTAGGTAAAAACTAAAAATAGATAAATGTTCACCAAAAAAAGTATGTAGATGTCTAATGCCCCTTTCACACCAACGCGGTTCCCGTTCTATCTCCGTGCTAGAGCTTTTTCTGGTTCGGAACCGTTTTTTTATTTTCAGCCCCCGTTTTGTTCACACCGCCCAGAGCCCGACTGGTACTGCCGCTGCTGCGTCATGATGTCACCGTTTAATACGTTGCTGATTTTCTCCCCAACGGCGTCGGGTCGATGATCGTGTTGCTTTTAATCATACGAAGCAAGATTAAATTAAATAACGACTTCTCCAACCTTATACCTTTCTCCAGAGTGCCGTGGTTCATTGTTTATTAATGTGTTACAGCGGCATTTACCGACCGCTGCAGTGCTGCTCTTCCACGGGAGTTTATTCTCCTGTTAGCTCCGGGTGACCCCTCGATTCCACCGGGTCCGGCTGCGCCACGGTTTTGGTCCGGCCTCTATCGGTCATACCCTACTGGGGCATTTCAGAAGCGGAGCGTCTTGCCTGCCGGTTCGCAGTTTTCGTTGATTTGGGCATATTTCCTGGACAGGCTACTTTGTACAAACAAAGTTAATAATACTTGTAATATTCCAGTTATAAACGACATGAATCAAAGATGCGTTGCTGTAAAAAAATGCATTCATCATCATAATTATTCTATATATATGTAGCTGTATATGTGTGTGTATATGTGTGTGTATATGTATGTATGTATATATGTGTGTATATATATATACATACAGATGTAGCACTTCATTTCAGACTCCAGCTTACAGCTTCCTGCCTACGACCTGCCAAAGACCAGTATAGAGGAATGTTAAGCCCTCCCACTATTTTCCAAGAGGGCGTTGCCAGATTTTCAATTTCAAGTTTTAACCAGGAGATGGCGCTTCATTCACAAATACAGAAAGACAAGTTTCATGGACTTTCAGTTGTGTTTTGAAGAGCATTTGAACACATCAATATTTTAGATCAACTAAAGTATATCTAATCTTGTAATTCAATAATATATAGTCTTTATATATTAAATAATCATAATTATAATGTAAATGTTTACATTACACTTCTTTATTTGTTATGCTCATACTTTAACCTTTACAATCGTTTGCTTTAATATGCAATATATTTTTTGTATATTTTTGTGTTTGCTTCCTCCTACTCCCTTTCGGACCCATACTGTATGATTTATTATTATTATTAATATGAAGATATTATTAAGATAAGATAAGATGTTACTTTATTGATTGAACATTTTAGTTTAGAATGTGCTGTCCCACGGTAATTCAGAAGGCTCACAGGTCACATTCCGACCATTATTTAAAACAATAGGTGCTTTCACACCGTCTACAGTTTGATTTGTATAGAGGGAGCTCTGTCAGTTTTCGAATTACCCATTTGCTTTCGGGGAGCCCTATTTTTCAGAGCACATCCTGCTACTAAATATGTCACACGCACGCTCTGTTGACTGGCGCAGCAGCGCGGATGCGATCAATTGCTATAAAAAACACTCTTCTACTAATACAGACGGTGTCACTATGCCGGCGGATGTGGCCGTTGTTGAAGCCTCTTCAGGCTCCGCATCGGCAGGCCTCTCCCTCTGTGTGGAGCTGTCAAGCTCGACACCGAACGACA